AATCTGCTGTAGGTATTAAAGTAATAATCTCAAAGATTTCCATCAAAATAAATCTCTGTTTAAGGCACTAAATTTGAAATTCCGAGCATATCTATCATTAAGGGATTGTCTCCACATGGCTCTCAACATGGTGACGGCTGAGCCAGTGCTAACAGTGCTCATCTAGACATGACTAACAGAGCAAATAGTTGTTTACTGCTAATGCTCTGAATTTAGCTTTTAGGACCTTTAAATCTATTACTAAATATTCACACTTTTGTTATAAAATAACATTGAATAAAACCATATTTCTGCAGATCTTCATAACTTGGAGAGGAGAGAGGATGTAGTCGTGTTGATTTAGTGGGCAGCCTTACGTCACCTTACTTCCTGCTTGTCTTTGTTCTGCAGTCTGTGAATTAACAAAAGATACATAAGTCAACTCCAGCACACATTTTGGTCAACACAACAATCAGCACATTGTTCTGAACAAGCAGAGGATCCATCAAGGCAATATCCGAGGAAGGACGTCGTCACCAGGGTAGATTGATGGGTGGTCTCTGGGAAATGCAGTGCAGTAACAGCACAGCAACAAAACTCAACAAAGGGAAGATGTCACAGATCCCCCCTGTAATGTGTGTTGTATCACGTTGTCTCCAACAGATGTGGTAAAAGTGACCTACACTGTCAAAGAGTGCACAGACTGACTTACGGAGGTACCAGGTGTTGCTGAGGAGAGGAACATCTGTAAAGGGCTGGTGCGGCGGACGCTGAGCCCGAGGGGTCGAATCTGTGCCAGCCTTCTTCTCGCTTGATGTCATCGCTCGCTTCATCGTTTCCACTACTCACTGCCATAACAGCTGACAGAGCGTGAAGCCAAAGATGACACAGAATAATGAAAATGCTAGATGTGGGATATCCCTTTTGTGTACGCGTGTGTGTGTGTGTGAAGTCTTGTTTTCGTTCCAGGTCTGGTCACAAAGGAGCTTCTGTAAATCTCTCAAAGACCAAAGCAAAGGAAAGAGACCATCCTGTCCAAGATGTAAAATGCAGCATAAAGCATTACAAATGTACTGTAACTGTGCCATTGTTTTAGGTTAAGGTTTATACTTTTCAATATATGACTCCCTGTTTCTTTTGCGGTATCTTGTGTATGTACGTAGAAATGAAGGGCTCATTCAAAGCGAACGAAAACACAACAATTCTAGTTTCAGGTGATTATACACTAATGAAAAACTGCTAATAGATCCCAAGAAATGCTGAACACTGTCCCTTTAAGTAAAACAATACATAAGATAAACATAAGATAATACAGATATTATGAACTCTATTGATTTCTGTGATGCCCTGCAGGCATACAGTATATGTGTATGTGTGTGTGTGTGTGTGTGTGTGTGTGTGTGTGTGTGCGTGCTTGGGTGTGTTTGTGTGTGTGTGTGTTTGTGGGGGCAAACCAGGACAGCAGCAGCTTCTCTGAGGGTGTTTGTTGAAATAAAGAGTTCAGTGAGGCTGCAGCTCCTCTGGTCAGCTGATGAATGTGGAATCAGTCAGCGCCCACTGATGGTGGTGAGCCGCCACCGTTCATACACATTCGGCAATTAGGAGTACTTTATAGGAGAGCAGATAAAAAAACTAGTTAAAATGAAAAGAACACATGAAAATGAAAGATTCAAAAGGAAAAGTGCTTTAGATCCAGGAACAGTCTACAGTAAGTCTACAGTCACAGTCCAGATTTGTGAAGCTGGCTTGGTTGATGCGATCAGAAAGTTGCTTCTAGAGTGATTTATAAAGAAGCAGCAGTGCTTTAAAGTCAATTGTGTGACCTAGTGGAAGAAGCCAGTGTAGGGACTTAAGTATGGGAGCAATGTGGTCGGTTATTCTGGTTTCTATAAGAACTCACACCCAGCTGTTCATCTGCTCAATGCAAAGCTGAAATCTGCCACATAAACTCTCAAAGGAGCAGTTGGGTCGGAGGTCAGGCCTTAAAAGACTTCACCCAAACAAAACCTCACAGAGTCGAAGTGACGTAGATGTGGAAGTATGTTAAGCACCGTCTTTAGGGAAGGTGAATGATGGATTTTGACAGCGTTAAATCACTCAGAGTCCCAGAGACGTCTCTCTCTATAATCACGGTGGTGTCTGCAGAAAGAGGAAACAGCTGCCGAGGTGGTTTAAAAGCCACAATGTTTACGTCACCTCTGACTTTCCACTGACTAAGTCATCCAGAGGAGAGACCGAACATCACGTCTACCTCACCTTTGTTGGCTGCTATGTCACTCTTTTTATCACGGGATGTTTGTTCAACTAAAGATTTCAGGTCTAATCTACTGTGCTTCACACTTTGAGAGGAGTCAAGGGCCAAAGATGTGATAAAACATCTGAAGAGGGCAGACCAAGCAGTCGACACTTCTCTCATAAACATATCAGCGTTGATTTATATATGCGAAAACCTCCCAGTGTTATGTGATGCAACGCGGCACAATCAGAATCACCTTTACTGGACAAGTACATGTGCACATACTCACAACAAGGCTGGACAAATAAAGGTCAAGAATAGTCTGACTGTTGTGTACTCAAGTGATATATATAAGCAGTGGCGGCTGGTCAATAGAGGGCGCTAGGGCGCCGCCCCACCTTGAGCCACAACAAATAAAATAAAATGAATAATAATAATAATAAACTATACAAATTGTCAATATTTGTGTTTTTGAAATATGAAAGGGAACAAATCCCTGCAGCCAGGTTCAAACATCTGGAGTGGAGCCTGACACAAGAAGACTAGATGCTGTTGGAATTATATTAATGGCAATGGTTTTGGAATATGTTCAACAATCACATGCGGATAATGGACATACTTTTGTTAATTTAGCATATATTTGCATTTCTCAATTCATCCCACTAGAGGGAGCTGTTGCATCGTAAAAGCTGAGGCGAGCAACTCAAAAGGTGAGTCAGGAGACTTCATAAAAAGATCATTTACTTTTTCTATTCATATTCACATGATGGTGGAGCCTTTCCCAGCATGCACCTGAGCAGAATAACACCTCAGATATGTTTTCCACCCCCAGGCTCAGGCTCAGCACAGATATTTCAGACACTATATTCTTATTTATTGGTAGTTTACAGTCTTTGATCCAGCTGACCTGTGGAGGACTGCGGCCTGGAGAGAACATGCAAACACCGCAGAGAACCGGATCAAAGCGAGGGATTTATCCTCAGTGGGGGACGGTTGAACATGGCTGAAGCACCAACAAGGACAATGCCAGTGCTTCTGCTTACTTTTGCTCCATGACTACAAATCACATATTTCCTATTTACGATCTGTAAATGAATGGAGGTCAATAGCTGCCTGACAAGAAGGAAAATAGCATCCATAAACAAGTGCTGTCCTTTGATTCTTCACCATTCCACCAGACAGGTAGGTTTGTAGTGAAGATTATGAGCCTCCAAATGATCTCAGATCAGGCAAACTTACCACCACACAGAGGAGCTTTGAGCTCCAGCAGCTGGTGGTAACTTCTCACCCTGGTTGTATCAGGTCACTGCCATGAGCTCACCGTCCAATCCCGTCCCGTCTTGCATGGAGGTAACAGAGCCGTCTCTGTGTTCTCTCGGCCTCCTGTTATGTCTGCTTTGGTCCCGTACGGCCCAAGCACTGGAAAAATTTGGTTGCAGGTATTTTCCTAATCATTCTTTCTCACTTGGATCTAAAATAATTCTCTCAGCGAAAGCAGATTTTAACCGGTTTCTTAAGTTGTGACCGTTGTTAATTCCTAAAAGATCCAAACGGAGCACTTCGACATGTATCGTTGCTTGGATTAACAAATAGTCACAATTAAGTGGCTACAAAGATGTTTTATTGTGCAGCAGATGGATTATTATTATTTTTTTAATCCACATTGACAGAAGTCTTGGACACATACTTTTGTTGTCAGACTATTTTCATATTTTGGGGCCTACAGTCACGAGGATAAATCATAATATATCATTTTACAACGATATTCTAGATAATATGTTTCCAAATTTATGACGATTTGGAGAAGCCAGATCAATACAGGGATGGCCTTTCCCAGTCTGCTGTGGAAGAAGTTAACTGGCCTGCACAGAACTCTGGCTTTAACCCCAACCAGCACCTGAACTGCGATCCAGAACTTACGGACCAACACCGGTACCTGACCTGACCGTCCTCTGAGCAAACCCCTGCAGCCTGGTGACGAAATCCTGCAGCTTTCCCAGAAGAGTGGAGAATGTTGTAGCAGCACATCAATGCCCGTGATTTTAAAAATGTTCAAACCCATCACATATAGTCGTAATGTTTGTCTGTCCACATGCTTTTGGCCATTTATTATGACTCAAATGTTACGAGGCACAAACTAGGACTTGGCCACCACCAGTGTTGGCTCCATGAATTGAAACAGAAAGGCAGCAGTTAACATGCTTTGTGTCCTTGAATCCCCCTTGAAGGATTAAAAGAATGAACCACTGTTGAGTCGACTGTTACAGATGTTACTGTTGAACGATTCGCTTTACAGCCAGAGTCCAGGCTCGCCTCCGGCTGCATAATTATGTGCCTGCTGTTGGTGGAAATGAACTTGAATTAAGTCAGGAGACTTGACTCCAGTCTCATGAGCATTGTCCAACACTTTTGTGTGTTTATCGAGTAACCATGGAGAAGCCTGTGAGCAGCACTAAAGGCATCAGGCTTCACCGACACAGACTCAGATACAAACACTACCGCTGCTGCTGCTGGAAATCATTCTTCAGCTGCTCTTGCTTCGGCTTCGTTATGTTTTTTTTCTTTTCTTGCCCCCGCTTCAACTTGCTGGTTCCTGCAGCACAGATGAATGAAAACAGTCACCAAGTATCTAATGTGAGTCACTACACAATTAGATTAGCTATGACTCAATATCACAAGTAAAAGAAAGAAGAAGAAAGCCACTGTTAATATCTGACTTCCACGAGAGGCACGCCCTGGTGATCACTTTTAAAGAAAGTGTAGATGAAAAACAAACACATGAACACTGGATTATATTAAATTTTAATGTGCACAGCGTGATATTGTACAGTAAAAGCAAGGAAGGGAAAAAAACACATATTTTCTTATAACAGTATCACCTTTGGAGCTTAAAACACTCAATTCAAGGAACAGGTGCTGTGATATTACCATCCCTGTGAGAAGACAGCAGGTAGAGTGAAGGTGACGGAGTCAAAGCGTAGTGTAGTGTCTCAATAAAACATACCCCCCCCACCCCATTACAGAAACCCCACCCAACCGTCCCTCCCTTCACCCATCTCTGGGGCGGGAGGCTTCAGTTTGATGCTTTTCAGCATCGTGTCCACAGTCAAGAAGCGAACAGAACAAGTTACTTGGGGTAAAATAAAAAACAAAAAAACAACAAAAAAGGATGGATGGGATGCAAAATAATGACCAGATAACAACTAAAAATGCATAAAAAAGAAATCACACATTCCATCTCACATTATCTTAATTCCAATGCATTAACCTGTGCAAGTACCACAGCGCGTAAGAAACATCTCCACACAAGCTTGTCAAAAGTAACCGCTAGTACTCTGCTACCTTTGCAAATAGAGACAGGAGATCTTCATTAGTGCTACTCACTAACAATACTTTCCCATAGATTAGTGCACTGGAATGAGGACACAGCTTGTAAAGTCGACACCCATACAGTACATACAGGATATTAAAACAACGGCATACAAGTTAAACCCTCAAAGTTCTTCATATTCATAGAGTAGGGGAAAAAAAGCATTCACTATGGGACTATGGTGCATTTAAGAGCTTCACTGAAAAATGAAAAAGCCAAAGTTGGTCAGTAAACCCACATTGGAGTTCAAAAGGGATATTTCTTTTGTAAAAAAATTCAAAGGCTAACATTCTCAGTCACACACGAGGACAATGGTGATGATGGAGACTTTAGTTTGAGGTGGGGTAAGAAGCCGTGAGCGAGGCGGGGGCGTGTGGCGGTGGCGGACGGCGAGTTGCTGGCAAGGCGACGCAGGTGCATGCAGGAACGAGGGCAGGTTCAGTGTGTCAGACTGCTGGGAAGCCGGGCGAAGGGTTGGGGGGGGGGGGGCGGTTGGCTTGGTGGGTTGGAGGTCATGAGGGGGTGGAGGGCGAGCAGAGGGAGGGCTGTTGCTGTGCTGTTCGGCTTGCGGGCTTGTGTTTTGATTTCGCTGAGTCAGATAGAATTTGGCAGCGCTCACTCGTTCTCTCCGCTTTGACCCCCCTAACCCCCGGCGTCCAACCGCCCTGCCCTGCCCAACGGCTCCAAAACACACACCCACACACACACACACACACACACACACACACACACACACACACACACACACACACACACTAATAAGCGCGAGAGAAGACAGTGATACACCCTGACATCCCCTCTTCACATGAATCACTCAAAGTGAGAAGCTCACAGAAAGAATGGAAGGAATTTACATCATTTGGCAAAACTGACAGAAAAGAGAAACAGAGCTCGGTCGCTTGCTTGACAAAATGAACAGGGAGGAATAAAAAAAAACAAAAAAACAACACAAACAAAACAACAACATAAACCCCGGAGAACGACCCCTTTGATTTCCTGTGCCCACCTGTTTGGTAAAGGCAACACTGGAGAGAAAAAAACAGCTGACGGGGTGAGGTGCCATGTGACCACGCCTCTTCACTTCCACACAACCCCCGCCAAGCTCTGGAAAAGTCTCACTTCTCATTTCCCAGAGGTCTATTTTTCTTCTTCTTCTTCTCTGTTGTGACTTTCCCCTCCATCTGTGTTGCTGTAGCCCTCCCTACTTCCCTCCCCTCTTTCCGTTAATCCTCCTCCTCCTCTTCGTGGACACTACACCTCCTTGGTTGTGCTGATTCGGATGCTGCTGAGGCACTTGCCCATGGCCTCAAATAACGGGTCGCAGAAGGTGTGCACGCAGATGGAGTATACGCGGCTGACGCAGTGGATCTCGATCAGGTAGCTCTTGACGCACGGCACCACGGCCCAGATGTGCAGGAAGGACAGGATGGCGAAGAAGATTCCCCAGATCAGCGCCAGGGGGATGCCGACCAGGGCCGTCAGCAGCCGGTAGCACCAGTACTTGGTCACAGTGAAGGTGGTGAAGCTGGCTTTCCACACGCCGTCGAAGCTGTAGGTCCCTGCAGGCTCGGCAATCACGTCCTCAAAGTCTACCTGAAGAGGGAGGAAGAGGAGGACATTTTAGTCAGACAGACTTGCGACAGTTCTAGCTACTATTTTGAAACCTTGAGTTTGGCATTTTGTTCATCGCCATCTTGTTTTTTTGCAACCAGAAGAGATACGAGAGGGTGGAGCTATGTACAACCAAATACCGAATAAAACACTTTTAGGCAACCAAACTGTTTCAATTAACTTTCATAAACTGAAAGCACACTGTGAAAGGGTTAACCTGCCATAGATCTACATGTTTAAGTATTGAAACAAAATACTAATTGTACAGTTAGTATACAGAGACACTCACATTAGACTCATCGAATACCTTCATCCGCCGCCAACAGTGTTTCACAAGAGCCCCAATATGGTGCAAGTTAAACTTTCACATAAATGCTACAGTCTTTTCCGTGTTATTCACACATAAATCAGCAGCTTCACTCCCTGTTAATATTTCTGAGATGGAGGATGGGATTCCTTGGCAAGATTCACATCTCCGATCGCAGCGACTGGTACACGGTCTAACCACCAACATACCACCCCGCCCGAAAATACGGTATTGCTACACACATTATCTCTGGCATCTGCTTCACTTTCTGCAATGGATCCTTGTCTCCAGAGCATCTTGAAAACATCAAACTTAGATGGATGGATAGATGGAAGGATAGATGGATGGATGGATGGATGGATAGATGGATAGGTGGATGGATGGATGGATAGATGGTCAGATGACAGATGGATAGATGGATGGATAGATGGATAGATGGATAGATGGATGGATAGATGGATGGATAGATGGATGGATGGATGGATAGATAGATGGATAGATGGATGGATATGGATGGATGGATAGATGGATGGATGGATGGATAGATAGATGGATAGATGGATAGATGGATGGATAGATGGATGGATAGGTAGATGGATGGATAGATAGATAGATGGATAGATGGATAGATGGACAGATGGACAGATAGATTGATAGGTAAATGGATAGATAGATGGATAGATGATAGAAAGTCAACTAAAGTAGAAAGTTAAAGGTAAACTCTCAATTATTCTTCAGTTAAATGATCGCCACAGGTGGACCAGATGTATTCAGATAATAGAAGCTGGTGAGGACTTGGTCTGCTTGGTGGTTTAAAGGCGTCACTGTTTGATATCTAAATAATTATCAGGCTAAACCGAGTTCCTAGAAGCTTTTAGCCGTTGTAAACACTCGCTGTGTGGTACGTCTTTGTTCGGAAAAAAGTCTGCAGCGCACAGGATGTGATGTGTTTCACATTTCTGCTTTTTTTGTGTGTGTGTGAAATAAACAGAAGGTAAAACTGCACAGTTAGTGTGTGGCCAGTGACGGGGAAACAACCTGCAGAAACTTAACGTTCATCAGCAGAGAAAGCCAAAAGACGGAGACGTCCCTGCACCGCCGTCCTCCACCTCCCATCAGGACGAACAATGTTGTTGTTCGTCCTGATGGGAGGACGTTGTGTTCCTCTCTCAGGCTTTTCAATGGGACAATCACTGCACGTGTCCGTGACCTGGGCATATTCTCTCTCTCTCTTTCTCTCTCACTCTCTCTCTCTCATCCTCTCCACCGGCTTCTGAGCGCAGAGTCAATATTTATTTTACAGTTACTTGGAGACTGTGTCTCGTCTAACAGGCGAGTGGAGCTACTGAGGGCCGATGGGTGCAATATCCGTAAGTCAAGCAGATATTATCCAGTGTCACCCTGACGGTGAAATGGAAAAGTCCTAAGTGAGACACTATCCACTGTTTGGAAGACATGATGCCCACTTACACACGCTGACTGGTGTCATCAAAGAAAAGCACATTTTATCCATTTTAGATCTCTGAAAAAGAACTTTATCGGTTAATTGATGCAAGTGTTGTAATGACATGTATTCATGCTCTAATGATATTTATCATCATTTAAATGGGAAAAGAATGCAAAACTATCCACCTTATTAATAGACTTGTCAAACGTTTTGAAGTTCTCTTATTTACCACTCTCAGTGAAATGCTAAGCTGTTAGCTTAGCTTGTAGCAGCATGAAGACTGGAGGCCAGGGGAAACAGTTCTGTCCGAAGCTAACCAGCACCTCTGAAGCGCGCTAATTTACTAAATAATTTGTTTAATCTGTACAAAAACTAAGGAAAGCAGTGTGACAAAACATCAAGTTGTGATTTTATGAGTAAAGCCAGTATTCCCGGCCAAACCATTCCGGCACATTTCCAACCACAACTTGACGTTTTTACACTTTGGTTTTCCGTACAGATTAAACACATTTTCTTAATTTTAAGTGAGCGTTAGAGGCGCTGTTTGCACAATTTTGATAGCTGTTTCACCCCCTTTAAAATCTGCATGTTTATAGTCTCCTGGCTGCATCTTATTCATCGATCTTCTGACCTAACTCAGCAGGAAGGGGAATAAACACATTCCCCAAATAAATCTGCCAGGAAAAACAATGTATTGCTTCAAGAATTTTTAAGCTATGAAACAACAAAGATTAAAGGAGGTAGCTACACTAGAATTAAGAAAATATTCACTTAAATTAATAAAATAAACACTTTTTCACTTTTTAAAAACTTGTAAGACTATAAGGATATTTAAGTCTAGAATTCAAAGCGTACAGACTATAAAACATATCTTAGAGCTCACTTTCATCCTGCTATTCATTATGTCAGAGTAAATATCATGTTATTTTGTAACAGAGCTCTTCACATATGCTACTTTATTTTATTTTGCCACAAACAGCAGCTTGTGAGTCCAATTATTTTACTCCAAGCAGCAGCATAAAGCCTCTCTCACAGCACCAACTGGCAGCTCTCACGACAGCCTTATAATATGAGTCCGACTGCAGCCACAAAACCAACGCGGCGTCCATTCAATTTTTCCACAGCTACAAATTTTAAAGTGGACCCACTCTGCTGCAGTTTCCAGGACTTTGATTGCAGAGCGGCACAAACACAACCACAGCAGGATGGTGGAGAGGTTCCACTTCATGAAGTCAAGCTGTTTGTTGCTTTTTAAAAAAAACGTTTCTAAATACTGTTCTGTTTGCAACAGTTTGAGGAAAATCATAAGCGTAAGTTTGGCGAAAAGCATCGCCTTCAGATTCAACGGTGTGGTTCCATTTTTTTGCTACTTCAGACTTCAAAGGGTTTTATTTTGATATGCTAATATGACGAGTATCACCCAGAAATGACTGGATTGCATTGCCATATGAAGACTTGTCCAATACCTTTTGATCCAAGTAAGGATGTTTTTGTGGAAGAACATCACAAAAGTCCACAGTTTCTGACTTTTCAGAATCAAGAAATGAAATAAATAAGACATCTACAGTATAAAGAACACAAAGCCTAAATCAGAGGAGTCTCGGGGTCAGCATGTGACCAGACGGCAAGGCGACTGTATTATGGAGCAAATAAAGCGATGTGCTATTTCCAGAGCTCTGTCTTCAGGCCGTCAACTACGCTTGAATAGACAAAGTGGGTCGCTGGAGGAGAAGATCAGAGCGAAGCACATCAATGGACTCTTCTGTTGGTTTGAGGGTAAAGTCAGAGGAAATGTTTGGTTTGGTTCAGGAGAGATAAGGATGATTGGCAGCCGAGACAACAGACAACAGGCTCATGTCACTCATCAGTATAGTTTAAGTGTGTTTTTGATATCGTTCATTTACAATTTCTAATCCCCAATACAATAACATATATGACTTGCCAAATATCATTTTTTAGGAATCTATGGTAAAATACATTCTTGGATGTTAACATCTCCTTTGCACATATTTCTGTGATGTATTCATAGCTTTGTTGAATTGGCATGACATCTGGATGGAGAGAAATCCCGCTGATGTTGAAAGAGTTTCATAAATAAGCACGACGAGACGTCTCAACCCAACATGTGATTGTTAAGTTCAGATAAAAGCTCAGAAATCTTTAAACCTGCAAGTATGGGGATTCTCACACAACAATGACTGTAAATCTATAAACATTCCAGAATGAGGTGGTGGAGTAAAAATAATCCACTGCTAATCATAGGGAGTGTTTCATTCCTTTCAATTTGACCTGAATGACATTTGATCAAAACGTCTAACAACTCCCTTTTTTGAAGATTCTCTCCAGTGGGAGCGTTTCCACTCCTCTCTGCTATATGAAGACCCACAAACTCTCCGGAGGAAGAAAAAACAAAAAACTCTTCGCAGAGCAAATGCCACATGCATGTCAGTAACGGATCGGGTTTGATGTGGCCGGGTGATTGAGGCCAGCTGCAGCAGCAACAAGAGAATGGCTTCTGTTCCTTTTCTTACAGGAATGCAGTGTGTGTGTGTGTGTGTGTGTGTGTGTGTGTATGTGTGTGTGTTTGCATGTGCAATAAGTACAGCATGTCTGCATGTGTGGGGTGGGGTGGGGTTGCTGGAAGGGATTCCCTGCCTGTGATTTTCATTGGGGCACACCAAACACACGCTCCCACTTGGCAGAGCCGTTTCATTGACCTCAAAGCACCTCAGTGAGGCTGTATACAGGAGCACACTGTACAACATACAGGCTCATCAGACTAAACTCTGAGACCCAGAGTCAGCGAGCATCTGTTGGCTTCCTAACCATCAAAAGTATTTCTTTAGATCAGAGCAGTGGTGGAAGAAGTTTTCAGAGCCTTTACTTAAAGGAACATCTATTCGTTGTAATGAAATATGATAATATTAAGTATATTCTCTTTAGTGTATAAATCACAAGGAATTGTTGTGTTTTTGTTAACTTACAATTAGTTGTTTATATCTACATGCGGGGCCATTCCGCGTCGGCCACCGTAGTTTTCCTTCATGCTTGGGAAAAGTTTTAGTTGATCGCAATCTGCAACCTCACCACTAGATGCCGCCACATCCTGCACAGTAGACCTTTAAAGGGGACATATCATGCTCATTTTCAGGTTCATAACTGTATTTTTGGTTTCTACTAGAACATGTTTAGGCTTTAATGTTCAAAAAACTCTTTATTTTTCTCCAACTGTCCGTTTGAATACATCTGTAGTCACCCTCTGTCTGAAACGCTCCGTTTTAGTGCCTGTCTCTTTAAACCTCCCTTTAAGAGCCCAGTCTGCTCTGATTGGCTGGCGACAAAAATATGGTGAACCATTGCAAAGGTTGCTCTCAAGCCATAAGTGGAGATACTCAGACGGGGGGGGGGGTGTATTCCAATGAGCCTGCATGTGACATGGGGAGCCAAATCTGATTGGCTTGTTGAATCAAATGTCGTCTGATCTAGGAAGGTTGGTAAGCACTCCAAATATCTAAGTATGTGCACTAAAAAAGTGAGGTTTTTAGATACATCCCTGACCCCACAATATTCAATGCTTGCCAAGATCTAGAAAAAATTGTGTTGTTGGTCACAGCCAATCACCGCAAGCGTTGTTCAATTCAATGCGACCTGTGATTGGCCCACTACCGCAGCAGGTACAACACGAACAGCCGGGATTGCGAGCTTGCATAAGGATCTGAACACAGAGATGTCTGAGCTGGGGGCTAGAAGCTAACGGTGCTAATGGGGCTAGCGGTGCCAACAGCGCTAACAAAGTACTCTATTAGTATCAACATCACATTAAGGGTACTGGCATCGTAATTTCTTAAATGATACCCAGCGCTAGCTGAGATGCAGCTTAACATACCGCTGGGTGGTTTAACTCTCACTATAAGAAGGTATTGTCTTTAATATTGTCTTTATACTCATTTAAAAATCTTAATCTGTAGCTGCAGCTGAAAATCCTTGCATTGTAGTAGATGTATAAACTTAAATGAACTAAATGCGCCTCATAATCTTACTGTATACTTGAGTAAATGTTCTTACTTCAAGTCTCAGGCTCTCAACAGTTCCCGACAACATTTTTAGAGTGTACATGTGATTTCGGATAATTTCACCAGCGGTCTGTTTGAGTTGATTAGAGAGGGGCGGGATGATCGTGAAGCTGCATTCTATTCTGAGACTGGAAGGAGAGTCTGACTCACTGTCACAATGGAGGAGAACTGGGAGGGAGAGAAAGCAGAGAGCGGTGGAAGAAGTGGAGGCATGTTCATGTGGCAGAACTGGAAGAAGGATGCACATCTGACTGTGCTTTGTGGGGCCTTTTTCCTCTGTTTTTCATACTTCCAATACACTAAATGTACCTTCTTTCCCCTACAAATAAAAAAAGAAATGTGAATTCATCACATGTTAAACGAATTTCACATATTCACCACGTGGGAAATAATTTACATATCGGCACACGTGGTTTTCGGACATTTCACAAGAGGTACACTCACATCTTATAGAACAGATGTTTAAATGTAAGACTTATCATGTGAAACAGCATTTCACATGATGAAGTCACCTTCAGGCTCATGTGTGCGATGAAACACGTGCTTTTCTTCTGTTTCCAGTAGCATCGGTAGCTTGTGCTTCTATTTCATGCATGTAATGTGTGTGTTTACTCCGTTTGTGATGGAAACACCACACCAATAAAGCTTCAATGTATTGAAATCAATATCATTACAGTCAGCACATTTGTTTTATTCCAACTGAACCAATAAGAACATTTGCTGCTCTGACACAACTAAAGGCATGTAGGGAAGAAGGGAGGAAGAGGGAGGGAGGGAGAGAGGGGAGTAGAATGGGAGGAAAGAAGGGAGGAGAGGTGAGGAGTGGTGAGGGATATCCCCAGCAGACACAGACTACTACTTGGGGTGTTTCCTTGTTTTAACAAGGCAGAGTTCAGGCATTTCAAAGAGCTGACCCCTCCTGTCCCACGCAGCGAGTCGTTTAACCCCCCACTCTCGTGAAAAAGAGAAAGAGACTGCCCTAGCTGGAGAGGAGGGCGGCCGGGCTCAGACAGCTGCTGCTACCCGCTACCAAACAGACGCGTCGGGTGGCTTCCAGCGCCCCCCCCCCC